CTGCGGCTGGCGGGCTTGACATCGGCGCGGCCGGCGGGCTTGTGGGAGCCGGCAGGCTTGACATCGGAGCGGCCGGCCACTCTGGGCTGAGGACCAGGGAGGAGCTTCGGAGAAGAGCGGCTGGAACTGAGGGAGCGGGCCAATTGGAACTGTATGTGGAGGGTGCTAGCTTATGGTGAGCTGAAGCGTCCACATGCTTCTGGATGGGAAGAGGATGATTATCCTCCACATCGACTAAGAATTCTGAGCCAGTTAAATCAAGGACAAAGTTGATAAATTCCGCTACGGGTCTGCGGCAATCTTCTGGAGTCAAGAACCAAAATAAATTATCATCTTTTAGTCCCATCCAGAAGCAAGCATTAACAGTACGATCGCTCCAGCTCACCAGATGTAAAACGCTCAGGAACTCCTCCACATACTGCTCCAACAATCACTCCTCCTGCTGGAAATTAAAGATGAATTCCTCAGTCTTCATATTTGGTCGAGTCTTCTGTCACGGTGCGTCAGAGGGAAACGAGGAGATGACTACACAACTTGACTTTAATTAAACAAACCAAAGGAGAGGAACACAACATAGGGAGCGCAGGAGTACACACATGGGGTGACGTTTAAGACTCGACAAGGAAACATGAGGCAGACTACACATTTATACTGAACTTAACGAGGGACAGACAGGTGCGGGGAATCAACTAATAATAAGACAACGAGAACAGGAAACAACCAAATATGGGCATAAGGAAACACGAGGGAGAACTGAGCACACAACAAAACACGGGACAGAGTCTGACAATATTCTTGACAAATGATTCTAGTAAATCATTTCATCATCTTTCATGATTGTTTTAGTAAGTCTCATGTGGTTTCTTGGTCTTACCAAATAATCGTCGGGTTTAATCCCAAAGAGCTCCCTAAAGTAACGGAAAGCCAAGGGAGCATAATTTTTAAAGCGAAAGTCAGGATAATGGTGAGCTGGAGTCAGATTACTGCCTTCACTGAAAGACAAAATTATTTAACACAATATTTAAAAACTGTGACTATAGTGACTCTATTCAGCATTGTTAGGAATCAACCAATTACCAACCAATCACAAAAGATATTCAGCTGTACTAATTAATTTTGCAGTAGATATTAAACAAACTACTACAACAGAACTGTTGACATTTGGAACAGAGTCATTGTATCTCAGTGTTTGAATAGTGAGTCTATGGCAACCACACATTACATCTGTCAATACCTCGGGAGAAAGGCGCTCTCAACAACGTAGAAGTCTTGCATGAGAACATCTCTGTCTGGTTTGGAGGTCATGTTGCCGACTGTGTACCCGATGCCGAGCTGAATGGCTCCTCTCAAGGCTTCCGCTGTGGGCTGGAGACAAACACACACAGAAAACGAATGTAAAACAGCCTCAGATCATGAGCAAATACTGGCACGTACAGGAAAAGCAGTCATCACTCTGCAGAGATAACGCCATCCTTATCAGCACTAAAAACACACATGGGAGGAAGTTGAAGACAAGGAAGTTGAGGCATATGGTCACGTTTGAGGCCTGGTTTTACAAGAAGTCATTTACTGCTAGTGTCACAATGAGAGCAAATAAATTGCAAATTACTTAGCAACGCCCCGGCAACCACCCACAACGAATTAGGTGTGAAGTGTAAACTCTGAAGTGCAAAAATACTGTTTTATCAAGCAGTTACATTACTAGTATTCCTCCAAACTCACTGTCTTTCACAACCTCAATAATTTTCATAAACTAAAATTTTGAAGAAAAATCCCGGACTAATAAAGACCCTACTTGCATGTAGATCAAAGGACTCAACTATTACAATAATGCATTAAGATTATATTACATTGTATTTTGTATTAAGAAATCATGCCCATTTAATCACAATTAAGCACATTTCATCACCAAATTCTTGTTAATGTAATGTGTCCGGACACTTATTATTATTATTATTGTATTGTTGTGTTTCCTCATGAATGATTCTAATTAGATTCTCATAATACATTACGGAAAATAATCCTATCCAGACAAAAAATTAAAAAAAATAAAAATAAAAATAAAAGGTAGTACCTTAAAGGGGTCATATGATGCGATTTCAAGTTTTGCTTTCTCTTTGGAGTGTTACAAGCTGATTGTGCATAGATAAGATCCCTGAAGTTGCAAAGACTAAAGTCTCAAAACCAAAGAGATATTCTTTATCAAAGTTAAGACTCTGCCACGCCCCCCTAAAACGGCTCGTTCTAACACGCCCCCACATATCTACCTCACTATGTGGAAATATTAGCACAATGCGGCCCAAATGTGCACGCAAAGAAAGAAAGCGTGGTTAGTGAAAAAAATAAATATACTAAAATGTATCTGAAATACATTTATGTAGTACGTGTAGTGCTATGTACACTACAAATACATTCACATATTTATGTACTTAATAAAAATACCCTGCAATTGTACTTTTGGTATAATAAACTGGTTTACTTAAAGTCTGCTAAATTGGAACAACTAATTTTGTACCTAATATATTTAAATTGTGCGGAAGTAGTGCTGAAGTCCAACTATAGAAATACTGAAGTATATTTGATTGTGCTACAGTGGAACTATTGCAAGTATACTTCAGATTTACTTTAAATATTTTGCATTCAAAGACTGATATTTAAAGATCATTCAATCCGCATCAATAGTGACATTAAAACACATTTTAGGCTTAATATTAAGAAATGTGCATTGTGCAATAAAGAAATACTCCAAATAAAGTTTAATTATAATTTTTATATCAGTAAGTCTCGAGCAATATGTCAGTAAACTATACTTAGTATGAAATAAATGTATTTTAAATATATTACTTTTTTACTAGGGTTAATATTAATACTTTATAATATAATAAGAAACATTTATTTTTCAGTCAGTCAAATTATAATTACTTACTGAATTAATAATGTGCATTGTGCAATAAAGAAATACTCCAAATAAAGTTTAATTATAATTTTTATATCAGTAAGTCTCGAGCAATATGTCAGTAAACTATACTTAGTATGAAATAAATGTATTTTAAATATATTACTTTTTTACTAGGGTTAATATTAATACTTTATAATATAATAAGAAACATTTATTTTTCAGTCAGTCAAATTATAATTACTTACTGAATTAATAAACTTTTAATTTATTATTTTTTGTTATTTAAAATTATTTATTATTTAAAAATTCCCATTGTAATGAGAATAAGATGTTGTGGAGTCGCTGCTTAATATGAAAATAATCTTTATTTATTTATTTTTTTTTGTGGGTGAAGATATATGCTATATGCATACATAAAATATGAACATATCCATATTCTGGACATATTCTTAATTAAACACTTTTTGTGAGATTTATACAATGTACATTTTTTTTCTCTTAAACCTGTCCTTTTTTGTTCCAGCTATTTTTATACAGAAAATGACAAAAAATTATTTAAAGCCTACAAGTCATTTTATGGGCAAATATCCACTATGTGAATTTCCTAATATCCCTAATATCATGGGCCTCCTGATGTATGGCACACATGGCATGACACACGTGCATAGTGTGCTCACCGTTACATAACAGTCAGCAGGAAAACAGCATTTCAGACCACAAGTATGACAAATCAGAGTGGGATATGCAAAAATCAAATCCCACTAAATCCCAAAAGAGCTCAAAGCACAAACGCTACATTGTGCCACAGAAAAATATGCTGGGTTGAGCAAAAAATAATCTATTGCACAGAAAGGAACAGAAAGGAAAATGACAAATCATTTCTTCTAAACAATGAAAATAAGCACAGAGATGCTTGCCAAGACTCCTGCTTCTCAGATTTTCCTCCTTATAAGACCTCATGTGTCTCATATGAGTTTCAGAAGAAATATGCAACACTATTATTAATTTTAAAGCTCTACTGTATACTTTTACTTTATGTCAACAGTTGTCTCATTTGCTCCGATTTGTTGTTTCTAAGGAATTTTGGTTACATTAGTACTTAAAATGCAACTCAGAACTTTATTTACATTAGAAATACATTATTTCTTGGGCAGTATGCATCTGTGTAGAGATTGCTGACATCTAACATAAATGTAGGCTACTAATTAAATGCGTAAGTTTGTCACGTTGCACTACTGTGAGGAGCGAGGAGACGAGGAGACACAGGCGTAAACTCAAAACACAGTCTTTAATCTTCACTTCGGGGAAATACAGGGCAGGCAAACACTCACGTAGCCGAACATTCAATACCAGACAAAGAAACTTAGAAATGGACAGACTATAAATACACAGGACTGGACGAGGGGAAGACGAGGAACACCTGGGATCAATAATCATAAAATAACATGGGAAACACCTGGGACTAGACAGCTGGGACTAAAGAACATAATCAGGACAGGAACAGGAAGGGAACCAAATAAGGGCAAAGGAGCACGTGGGGAGCACAACACACAGAACATGTGACAATGTTCTCCTTAAACTTAGTTTATTAACTCATCTATGTGTAGCCTAAATACTTTTTCTGCTTCAGCCAGTAATATATAAAATTAGAAGTGGAAATAAACTAAATCAATTCATCAGTTGATCACTGATACATACAGATAAAACATTGTGCTTTATTTTACACACCTTTTTGTGGTCTTTGCCTCCAGTTTTTTGAGGTCTTTCACCTCCGGTCTCGTCTGCCGTTGAACTCATCTATTATTTAAAGTAAATATACAAAATACATAACAATTAGAATTATAAAAATTGCAATATGAATGTCTCAAGGCCCCCAAAATGATCAAATGAACATAATAATAGTGTACTATTAAACTAAAAATATGCAAAGGTAACTTCAACTGTGAGCACTGTGCACATTATCAAACAGGAAATGAAGTCATGTGATGTTCCTGTTCTTGGTAGAACTCAACGCTGCTGATGCAAGAGATGCAACTCTAAGGCAACTCATTAGAAAGAGACTCAAGTTTCCTCCTGACATGATTGAAATGTTTCAGTCTGACCGTATCTGAATGTTGCAGCATATGCAGGATATAGCTGCAGTTCTGCTCAGTGACAGGATGTTGATAGCAAACAGAGGAGGGAAAACACATGCAAAATGTAATACTTTTCCTTTTCAAACAGCAGTGCTCTATTCAAATGAAGCTGTCAATAGCCTCAGGGACCATAAAAGCTGTTTGTCTATATGAGTGAATGTTACTAAACATGTCCGGGTCTCATTTTACCCAAAAGTGGGGATAAAGTACTCAACTGAAAATAGATAGATCGATAGATCGATAGATAGATAGATAGATAGATAGATTTCTGAAATAAAATTCATTTTGATATTTTTGGGAGTATATCATTTAGATTCCAGAAAATAATAAAAAAAATAAAATCCTTATAAATCAGTTAATGCATAATGCATGAATTATTATTATTATTAAATTATTTATAATCCTTAAGAATTAGTTAATGCATATTGTATATATATATATATATATATATATATATTTTTTTTTAAAGTAAAAAGAAACAAATCTGTTTCACTGCTTATTAATATTTGAAAAACTACATTACAAATCAAAGTCATGTGGTGCAACCAACATATAGAAACATGCAGGAAAAAGCCACACCTGAAATACCATAGCAACACCCTAGCAACCACCCACAACACCTTTGCACCTTGTTGATGACTTCATTTTCTTTATGCAAAATAAAGTTTCTTACTTTTTTCATTCTGATTTTGGAGTGAAATTCAACCCAGACAAGTTGTGAGCAGGTTTTGAGAGGTACATAAACACACATGCTTAACTGTAGACACCACTTTGGCCAATTTTGTGTTCAGAACACAAACCTTTTACACTCTCATAAAAGTTATACCTTTCAGGATACAGATGCTTTTCACTTGTGCAAAAATCTTAAAAGAGTATGCATCCTATTTACCCCTAAACGTTTCATAGAAGTACCTTAAGTACCATATTACTACTGTACTATAAACTACTGATATGCACTATTTAGGAGTAGATGAAGTACAAAGCTTTTAAGTGTACTTCCCCAGTGACAAGCTGTTGCACCCTTAAAGATAAACATTTTGCACTTTTTTTTCTGACAGCTTGGCATTTTCCTTACCTTGTAAACCGCTCTGCTGTTCATTAGATGTTAGAGTAGCTGCATATCCAGCCAAAAATGACTCCAGGCGTCTAGTGCAGGAAGAATAAATAGAACATGAGTAGGTGTCAGGGGTCTGTCAGTGACTGATACCGAAAGTGAAAGACATGAAGAAAGTGCACAAGCAAAGGAAATAGAGTGCTATAGCGAAAGTAAACAAAGATGGAAAGAATATGTTTATGAGGGAAATGGAATAAGTGAGCGTTTAAAGCTATTTATACACGCATTAAACACATGGCAAGCGCTGTGTGAGGCTCAATCGTTCCAGAAATGACAGATCACATGCCCACATGCCACTGAATGTTATAAAACAGACTCTGCAAGATATTCAAATCCAACGGACGATGCTCACAGCCTGTTTCCCGTTAATAATCTAATGGCAGAGCCACTAAACAAACGACGATGAGGAACTGCTGTAAGGAGAAAGAGTTCATCTCAAAGCATCACACAGCTGCAGGAGAATCATTGCAGCTTTTGATTAGTCTATACAGGCATTATTTGATGTTGACTCCTTTTGACTCCTTCTCTGACGTCAACAGAACTCAAGACCCCATATTTGGCTTGCTAATAGAGATGAGAAATGAGTTGTACATACCTCAGCGACACTAACTGCTACAAACCAACACGGCAGCTAGTGGCTTAAAGTTTTCCGTACTGAGCGGCTCCTTGCATTAAACACTCATTTCAAAGAAGACGGATTTGCAATTAATCATGCAATCTTTCCTAAGACGGCCTGGTCCTCAATGTCCCTGCCCACAAAATAAGCAATAGTGTGCTCACCGTTACATAACAGTCAGCAGGAAAACAGCATTTCAGACCACAAGTATGACAAATCAGAGTGGGATATGCAAAAATCAAATCCCACTAAATCCCAAAAGAGCTCAAAGCACAAACGCTACATTGTGCCACAGAAAAATATGCTGGGTTGAGCAAAAAATAATCTATTGCACAGAAAGGAACAGAAAGGAAAATGACAAATCATTTCTTCTAAACAATGAAAATAAGCACAGAGATGCTTGCCAAGACTCCTGCTTCTCAGATTTTCCTCCTTATAAGACCTCATGTGTCTCATATGAGTTTCAGAAGAAATATGCAACACTATTATTAATTTTAAAGCTCTACTGTATACTTTTACTTTATGTCAACAGTTGTCTCATTTGCTCCGATTTGTTGTTTCTAAGGAATTTTGGTTACATTAGTACTTAAAATGCAACTCAGAACTTTATTTACATTAGAAATACATTATTTCTTGGGCAGTATGCATCTGTGTAGAGATTGCTGACATCTAACATAAATGTAGGCTACTAATTAAATGCGTATGTTTGTCACGTTGCACTACTGTGAGGAGCGAGGAGACGAGGAGACACAGGCGTAAACTCAAAACACAGTCTTTAATCTTCACTTCGGGGAAATACAGGGCAGGCAAACACTCACGTAGCCGAACATTCAATACCAGACAAAGAAACTTAGAAATGGACAGACTATAAATACACAGGACTGGACGAGGGGAAGACGGGGGACACCTGGGATCAATATTCATAAAATAACATGGGAAACACCTGGGACTAGACAGCTGGGACTAAAGAACATAATCAGGACAGGAACAGGAAGGGAACCAAATAAGGGCAAAGGAGCACGTGGGGAGCACAACACACAGAACATGTGACAATGTTCTCCTTAAACTTAGTTTATTAACTCATCTATGTGTAGCCTAATCGGGGAGGGGGGTGGGCGCCCTAGAGGCTGGTGCAGGACGGGGACAAGGAAGGCCTCCAGGGCGGATCAGGCAGGTCCGGAGGCCATGGCGGAGCAGGCAGTTCAAGGTGCCATGGCGGAGCAGCCTACGAGGCCGCGGCCCCAGCCCCCACCTCGGCCTCTACGGCTGGAGCCCTACAACCCCCCCCCCCCCAAAAAAAATATTTGAAGAGGATAACGGGCTCCAAGGCCCTCTCGGGGCCAAAACCGGGGACTGGAGCCCTCCCTGGGCTTAACTAGGGCTCTGGTGCCCTTCCTGGGCTTAACGGGGGATCAGGAGCCATCCTTGGGCTCAACGGGGGATCAGGAGCCCTCCCTGGGCTTAACTGGGGATCAGGAGCCCTCCCTAGGCTTACCGGGGGATCAGGAGCCCTCCCTGGGCTCAACAGGGGATCAGGAGCCCTCCCTGGGCTAACCTCGGGTACAGGAGCCGTCACTGGGCTAAACTCTGGAACAGGAGCCCTCAGTGGGCTAAACTCTGGAACAGGAGCCCTCCGTGGGCTAAATTCGGGAACAGGAGCCCTCCGTGGGCTAAACTCGGGAACAGGAGCCCTCCGTGGGCTAAACTCGGGAACAGGAGCCCTCCGTGGGCTAAACTCGGGTACTGGGAAGCGCTTACGAGGAGCTGGCACTGGAGGGCGCTCTCACAGGCGTAAACTCAAAACACAGTCTTTAATCTTCACTTTGGGGAAATACAGGACAGGCAAACACTCACGTAGCACGTAGACGAACATTCAATACCAGACAAAGAAACTTAGAAATGGACAGACTATAAATACACAGGACTGGACGAGGGGAAGACGAGGAACACCTGGGATCAATAATCATAAAATAACATGGGAAACACCTGGGACTAGACAGCTGGGACTAAAAAACATAATCAGGACAGGAACAGGAAGGGAACCAAATAAGGGCAAAGGAGCACGTGGGGAGCACAACACACAGAACATGTGACAATGTTCTCCTTAAACTTAGTTTATTAACTCATCTATGTGTAGCCTAAATACTTTTTCTGCTTCAGCCAGTAATATATAAAATTAGAAGTGGAAATAAACTAAATCAATTCATCAGTTGATCACTGATACATACAGATAAAACATTGTGCTTTATTTTACACACCTTTTTGTGGTCTTTGCCTCCAGTTTTTTGAGGTCTTTCACCTCCGGTCTCGTCTGCCGTTGAACTCATCTATTATTTAAAGTAAATATACAAAATACATAACAATTAGAATTATAAAAATTGCAATATGAATGTCTCAAGGCCCCCAAAATGATCAAATGAACATAATAATAGTGTACTATTAAACTAAAAATATGCAAAGGTAACTTCAACTGTGAGCACTGTGCACATTATCAAACAGGAAATGAAGTCATGTGATGTTCCTGTTCTTGGTAGAACTCAACGCTGCTGATGCAAGAGATGCAACTCTAAGGCAACTCATTAGAAAGAGACTCAAGTTTCCTCCTGACATGATTGAAATGTTTCAGTCTGACCGTATCTGAATGTTGCAGCATATGCAGGATATAGCTGCAGTTCTGCTCAGTGACAGGATGTTGATAGCAAACAGAGGAGGGAAAACACATGCAAAATGTAATACTTTTCCTTTTCAAACAGCAGTGCTCTATTCAAATGAAGCTGTCAATAGCCTCAGGGACCATAAAAGCTGTTTGTCTATATGAGTGAATGTTACTAAACATGTCCGGGTCTCATTTTACCCAAAAGTGGGGATAAAGTACTCAACTGAAAATAGATAGATCGATAGATCGATAGATAGATAGATAGATAGATAGATTTCTGAAATAAAATTCATTTTGATATTTTTGGGAGTATATCATTTAGATTCCAGAAAATAATAAAAAAAATAAAATCCTTATAAATCAGTTAATGCATAATGCATGAATTATTATTATTATTAAATTATTTATAATCCTTAAGAATTAGTTAATGCATATTGTATATATATATATATATATATATATATATTTTTTTTTAAAGTAAAAAGAAACAAATCTGTTTCACTGCTTATTAATATTTGAAAAACTACATTACAAATCAAAGTCATGTGGTGCAACCAACATATAGAAACATGCAGGAAAAAGCCACACCTGAAATACCATAGCAACACCCTAGCAACCACCCACAACACCTTTGCACCTTGTTGATGACTTCATTTTCTTTATGCAAAATAAAGTTTCTTACTTTTTTCATTCTGATTTTGGAGTGAAATTCAACCCAGACAAGTTGTGAGCAGGTTTTGAGAGGTACATAAACACACATGCTTAACTGTAGACACCACTTTGGCCAATTTTGTGTTCAGAACACAAACCTTTTACACTCTCATAAAAGTTATACCTTTCAGGATACAGATGCTTTTCACTTGTGCAAAAATCTTAAAAGAGTATGCATCCTATTTACCCCTAAACGTTTCATAGAAGTACCTTAAGTACCATATTACTACTGTACTATAAACTACTGATATGCACTATTTAGGAGTAGATGAAGTACAAAGCTTTTAAGTGTACTTCCCCAGTGACAAGCTGTTGCACCCTTAAAGATAAACATTTTGCACTTTTTTTTCTGACAGCTTGGCATTTTCCTTACCTTGTAAACCGCTCTGCTGTTCATTAGATGTTAGAGTAGCTGCATATCCAGCCAAAAATGACTCCAGGCGTCTAGTGCAGGAAGAATAAATAGAACATGAGTAGGTGTCAGGGGTCTGTCAGTGACTGATACTGAAAGTGAAAGACATGAAGAAAGTGCACAAGCAAAGGAAATAGAGTGCTATAGCGAAAGTAAACAAAGATGGAAAGAATATGTTTATGAGGGAAATGGAATAAGTGAGCGTTTAAAGCTATTTATACACGCATTAAACACATGGCAAGCGCTGTGTGAGGCTCAATCGTTCCAGAAATGACAGATCACATGCCCACATGCCACTGAATGTTATAAAACAGACTCTGCAAGATATTCAAATCCAACGGACGATGCTCACAGCCTGTTTCCCGTTAATAATCTAATGGCAGAGCCACTAAACAAACGACGATGAGGAACTGCTGTAAGGAGAAAGAGTTCATCTCAAAGCATCACACAGCTGCAGGAGAATCATTGCAGCTTTTGATTAGTCTATACAGGCATTATTTGATGTTGACTCCTTTTGACTCCTTCTCTGACGTCAACAGAACTCAAGACCCCATATTTGGCTTGCTAATAGAGATGAGAAATGAGTTGTACATACCTCAGCGACACTAACTGCTACAAACCAACACGGCAGCTAGTGGCTTAAAGTTTTCCGTACTGAGCGGCTCCTTGCATTAAACACTCATTTCAAAGAAGACGGATTTGCAATTAATCATGCAATCTTTCCTAAGACGGCCTGGTCCTCAATGTCCCTGCCCACAAAATAAGCAAACAATCGCGGCTGTAAGTAAGTACAGTACGTAAGAGTCCTGATTCTTGAGGCCTGGCCTGCAAGGTAAGGGGGATATTGCTTAAGACGCTATTGTTTTCACGGCTTTGCTGATTTGCTCGTATCTGTGATCTGATACACAGGGCACAAAGCTATAAACATTGAACTTTGTTATACTTTGTGCATTATAAACGGTAACCTGAATTTATGACCAATTTCAGACATTTAAGATTCCTCAGCACTGAATCCAGGATTTTAAAATGAATGGCGTTCGTAACTAACCATTAGGATATTAAGATGGCGTTCTCTTGAAAACAATAGGCTACACAGTGAAAATGACAGTATATAAAATTGCAAATAGAATCACAACAACCATAAAAAAGTAGTAATATCAACATAATTATTAGTGTTGCTTGTTACAGACACAATATGAATGGTGGGTCAGTGCTCTTTTTCATCTGAATATATTAATTCTTTCAATTCATACATAAAATGACTTGGATATGCCTCTTCTATGATGAGCATTTTTTAATTTTCTTTATTAAAATTTATTTTGATATATTTTTTAAATTTTGGGGACATGAAGTTTAACATTTCCAGGGCGTTCTAATAAAGAAAAAAAAGGCAGTGGCTTTTTAAATTTTTTTTATTATTATTTCCACTAAGTGGAAATAGAGATAGATGCTATTTACACTAAATGGATTCTATTTACACTAAGTGAAAATAGCAGTATTTTCTTTGCAGTACGATAAATAAGTAGCATTAGTATTGCAATAGTAGCATTAGTATTGTAGTGCATTATAAAACAGTATGCAACAATAAACTATTGAGTGTAAATTATCATATTTATATATCATATAAAATTATTAAAGGGGCCATGACATGAGAAACCAAATTTCCCTTGATCTTTTGACACTGAAGAGGTCTTTGTATGCTTAATACATCATGCAAGTTTCATTACTTAATATGTCCTCATCATCAATAAAAAAGCATTTATGTAATAACCCTCAAAAAACGGCTCATTTTGCATCCGAGGTGCAAGGTGACGTCACCCAGGCGCAGTTGTTTGCATATGACCGCCTCCAGCGCAAGACATCGACAAATAGTCATCTTCTCACTATAGGCCCCGCCCACTGGCGTTCAGCTGCTTAAAGAGGTCAAATGATGCCCATTTTCCACAAGTTGATATGATTCTTTAGGGTCTTAATGAAAAGTCTGTAACATAGTTTGGTTAAAATTTCTCAATGGTAGTGTAAAACAACACCTTTTTTTTACACTGTCAAAAACAGCTCTTTTCAGATCAAGCCGTTTTTGTAGCATTTCCCTTTAAATGTTAATGAGCTCTGCTGACCCCGCCCCTCTCTTCCGAGCTGCTCTCAGAGAGACTGTTTACTTTAGAATTAAAGCAATATAGAAATTTGGTTAAATAAAATTAAAGCAAATAGAAATTACAATCACTGCCGCTATCTTGTCTACACTGGATACAGTAAACAGATGCACGTTCACTTTTCTGCCTCTGCTTCTCAAGTAAATGATTTCATAATGCTTTGTCTGGAAATGACCATTTTATTTTGATCATGTTGTCAAAACATTCACATGCAATAGCGAGGGGGCATTGATACTGTTTCCCATGCAATGACGTTATGATTACTGACAAGCCTTAAAGGACACGCCCCTTAAAGCAGGTCGTTTTAGACAGAGGGCCAGAATAAGGGTTGAAAATAATAATTTTCCACATGTTTATTTGTTTTCAAAAGTTCAAAAAACTTTTTTGTCATTATAAGTAAACCTCAAGGAACATATTAAAATAATTAAAAAAAAAAATCAAAGTCATGACCCCTTTAAATGGATGCCATTATTCTTTTTATTGGGACAATAAAGCCTTCCACTACCTGATAACACTTTGTTATTAAATACCAGTGGCACTTTATTTCTACTTTTTGAATATTTCCTTCATTTTTTATTGAAAATAAACGCCTTTCCAATCTGACATGCAATGGGAAAAGGGAGAAGTACGAGTTTGGCAAAAAGCGAGTTCGAACTCATCAAATTGTCAATTGCGTTAAGGTTTCCGCCACACGCCTTACTCTTTATGCCACTACTGCTGTTGTATATCAAGCGACTTTTGTAAATTTGTCTATTCCAACCAAACACTGGCGGGCAGAGTTAGTGTAAATAGCCTCTGCCAATAAATATGAGTTTGCTAATCTTTTATGATTTTTTTTTTTAAAGAACAAATTCACGTCACTGCTTGCTTATTCATAGTTGATAAGCTTGGTTGTCTGACAAATTAAAGTCATGTAGTGCAACCAACATATAGAAACAAGAAAAAAAGCTAAGTTCTAGCAACCACATAGCAACACCCTAGCAACAGGAACTTAGGATTTTGGTGATGGGAGTGGGATTTTTTTTATTTTTTACCACTATGTAATCCCCTAACAACCATTCAGAACACCCTAGAAACCACATAGCAACACTACTTTTAAGAAAGTATAAAATCTGTTTCCTTATTGGTATTGCTTAAGTGTTCTCACAGCTTGTATGAAGTGTTATACATAAATGAATGTGTCACAAGCTGTTAAGGGCGATGTAAGGTCATAAACAAGCAGTTGCATAATGAGCACAAACTTCTTAAGGATCAGACTAGCTAAAGAAATGATGCTTTAGATAACAAGAACTAAAAAAGGTTTAGTTATCTAAATTTGACTCTCAAATCAAAATCACAGATGTAATAGTATATAGTCAATATTACTGTTCCCAAAAGGTTTATATAGAAATAATTGAAGCTCAGAAACGCCACATGGTCTGAGGCTTTCCCAGTTTAGATTTCCCGACCCCTAATTCCAACTCCCATGACCCAATGATTGCATAACTAATCTGGCTGGTACATTATATGTATGGGTAGACTTAAAAAAGCCTCTCTATAAATCTCTCACCACAACTGACTAGACGGACACATAAATGGAAATTTTCCAGGGCAGCCGTTCTAAAACCTGGATGTTCTCAAGGGTCTAATCGTGTTTTTCAGACAGAGAGCAAAGCGTTTGCCAGAAATAAGGATATTTGCAAGCCAAATCACAGGACGACAGGATCAGCAGGGCTGAAATTTCCTCAAATCCTACAAAGTGCACAATAACCAAATGTTTTAAAACTATCACATCATCATTACACCCTCACACCCGGCCTGGACTGAAACAATAGGTCTTTATCAGTGGGGAGAGGCGTGGATTCACGCACAGAAGCGTAAGGACTGTTTGCATTTGGCGTGGAGTGAGGGGAACGCAAATGACACATGAGTCATGACATCAACGATCACATGACCCGCTCAGATCGCCTGTGTAAACATGGGGCACCTATAAAACAGAGCACTAGGCTCAGAATTAAATGGAGAACAGTGACCAACACAGATGATACTAATGTAAGCAATAGTGTAAATAGGATACAGAAATTTTGGACAGCTTTTGGAGATCAACTAACAGACTTCAGATAGTTGCTGTGGCAACTATAAATACATTTATTGCATACTAAGTATAGTTCAACTAACTATATTATATTAATATATTATTAAACATAATGACATATCGCTTGATACTTACTGTTATAAAAATTATAATTAGGCTAAACTTTATTTGGAGTACTACTTGTGCACAATGCACATTTCTTACTATTAAGCCTAAAATGTGTTTTAATGTCACTATTGATGAGGACTGTATGATCTTTGAATAATATCGATCTTTAAGTATACTTGCAATAGTTCCACTGTAGCACAATCAAATATACTTCAGTGTATCTTTAGTTGGACTTCAGCTCTACTTCCACACAATTAAAGTGCATTAAGTACAAAATTAGTTGTTCCAATTTAGCAGACTTTAAGTATACCAGTTTTTTAAATTGCAGGTTATTTTTATTAAGTATTTTAGTATATTTATTTTTCACTAGGGGCATACATGGAATA